AACTCTGGGTCAAAGAACAATGAAAGAGAACAATCCCATCTAATAGTATGTAATAGACAAAGCTGTAAAGTTATCACAGAGGAAGCTGGTAGACCTATAGTAACGTTTGCAGTTGAGACAAGGTGTCCACGTCCATATAGCAAAAAATGTACTGAACTGTCCGTTCTTGAAAGAAGTAAGCTTGCATCTTAAAATATTGCAGTGCGGACAAGAAAATGCCCAAGCGGATGAAGTGAATTATATCTCAAATGCTGTTAACATAGCATCCAGAAAGATCAATAATTGGTCTTCTATATTCCCTTCCACACAAATATGGCTTGCATTGTCACAAGGTACTGAAACTTAGTGTAAAATTCAAAAGGGCTAAAAGTGTCAAAGTAGAAATATGTATTCCTAATGATTACAGTTTTAGTCTGATGTGACCAAGAAATAACTGAAAATAACATAAATTTCCTGGAAATGACCATGTTTTTGTGTCACTGTGCACCAGGCAAAATCAAGTGTACAAGATATAAAATGATTCTAATTAAGGAAAATACGATTATATTTTTAAGGCATCTAAGTTTGTAACTCTAAAATACCCACTAAACTTTATTTCACAATTCTATCAAAATTTTGCAGGAAAAAACAGTTTCATATAATCGGTGAGGAATTTAGGGTAAGGGCAGTGTAGTACTAGATATGGCAAAGCGGTTCTATTTCGAATTTAAAAGAATGACAAGAACCCTGGAGTTCCAACCTTGGTGATAAGACAATCTCCACCCCTACACAATCATATTTACCTTTATTCAGAGCTAGTACTGGTAACAGAAAGAACTAGATTCAAATATTATCTGATGCAGCTCAAAGGATGTGTTGTATCATTACCAAAGCAGCACAGCACTTAGCAATTCAAACTAGAATAACAACTGAAGGATGTATATTAAGGTTATTTATAATTCTGCTTAACAAATGTATAACTATGTATTAACATCCATATATGAGTCACCTATAATAACAAAGAAATGGAGTAAAGTCTTAATCAAGCCCTATGGAAATTAATAGCAATACACACACACAAAAAGCTTCTTTTGGCTTTTGCTTCTCTTCTTTGTTTGTAGAGTACTACTTAGACACAGAAATAAGGTTTCATGTTTTAGTGAAGTCAGTCATTTGAAGTGTTGCTTATCATATATCCTTAGTTCCTTACTTTTGTGTATTTTTTCTTTTCTATGCTATTCAGCTCAAGTTGTGAGTATTTCCCATCTCTCTGTTTAAAATATAATTTGATGGTTGCATTTTACTCTAATAAAGATCTACTTATATTAATCTAAACTCATTTGTACTTAAAATTTCCTGTAATCTCTAGTTGTATGCTATTATCAAATATGTATTACTGTAAAATTTAAGCTCCTACCAGGCTCAGAGGTGCTGCTATGACATTTGCAACAATCTGTTTATTTAGTCTTCAGTGTCTTAAGTATCAAAATAACCCAAAGATTTATGAGCAAAGAAAATAAAATTGGGCTATTTTCACTTATTTTTTTCTGAGAGCAATGACAAGCTAACTACTTAGAAACAGCATGTGAACTAGCTCATATATCTCACAAATTGTGCCTTTTTTTTCTTAAAACACTGGTTCAAATCCTCATTATTTCCATAGATTTCAAACTATATGTGACAAAAATTGCCATGCCAATTTTTCTGAAACACCCTTAGCTGGTTAGTCATGTTAGTCATGCAGATTATCAAGGGAGAATGGAAAGACAAAAAAAAAGCCACTAACTTTAGGCAGACTAGACCGCAATTTTAGACATTCATTCATGTTTGAACCTCTAATCTAAATCAAGTCTCTGCACTTGTTTGTCTTGTTCAAACATTCACATTTCAGAAAGCAGAAGAAATAGGGATAGCTTTTGTTTGTGCTGTTTCTTTTCTTTTCGTTTTCTTTTTCTTTTTTTCCTTCTTTCCTTTTTTTTTTTTTTTTTTTGAAACAGCACCAAGGATTCCTACAGTTCTGTATTTAAGTGACCTGGAGAAAAAGCAGAGACGCAAAGAGGTTTCTTGTTCTTGGAGAGGGTAGATTTCCAGAAACCTTCATTAGCCAATGCATTCAGCACCCTCATCAGTTCATCACCCTGCAGGTGTTTATTTCTCTAAATAGTGTCATGAATCTGTAACACCTCAGATGTATAGATGCCAAAGTCCCCAAGCCAATAATTCTCTGTGCTCTGGCAGTGCAAACGAAGACAATGGCAAAAAGGGCTGAATGGGATGGAATCTATAAATTCTAACAACTCTATTCCCCTCAGTCACTAGTCAAAAAGTATTCACTTGGGTCATCAGAGACTAGTTTCCATAATCAATTAGGTTACTGCTGTTGCAACTGTTGGACTGAAACAGTCTCCAGTACAATTTTAATAGCCATTAATGGCATGATAGCCATATGACAGATCTGGCAAATGTCACTTAAGATGTAATTGTTGAAATGGAGATGCAAATATTGTATTTAATAACAAAATGTGAGCATGAATTTTGTTTATAAATACGTGTAGGTGAGATTAGAACTTGAATTTGCTTTTCCTTCTTTTTTGTTTTTTAATGGAAGGAGTTCAAACACTAGTGTAAAAACCTGGATTTAATCTTGCAGTCTACAATATAAACTAAAATTTGTCTCTCACCACAGTGGTAGAAGGGGGTCATTGATAAAAATTAGAAGAGAAAAGAAAGAAAGGGATTTAGGAATATGCATACTCTATAATAAGTTCTACTAATAAACACTTAGCAATTGAAGAATGAATGAATTTGGCTTGGAATGAGAGCCAATTGCTAAGTTTAAATATTAATGAATTGCTCCTTGTAAAGAATTCTCTACACCCTCAAAGACAAATTTTGTCCTCAAGAAGTTCCCTCTTTCAATCTTCTGACCTTTTGAACCAAATGGGTACACAACACATCTCCTTGACTCCCCACCATAGGATTTCTTAAGCCCTGATGCATCAAGATCTGATCCACCAAATCTTCACTTGAAAGCTCCTCTCAATCCATCTCTTAGCTTCTTTCCAGTCCCACAAGCCTTAACTCTACTGGCTCCTGATCCCATTATAGATATGAATAAGAAATAGCCAAACTCTTACAAAATAATACATTTTCTGAAAACATTCCATGTATCCATTCTTATTGAAAACATACAGCATATTAATAAAATACATCTTTAATATTCTTAAATAAATTCTTCTAACTGTAGGCACCAGTGAAAACTACAGGATACTAGGACTCAGTTTTTTTGTCATATGTTTAGGGACTCTCATACCACACAATACTGTACGAGGAAGGGCATTATAGTAGTCATTGCAATATTGTTGTAGGAGTTTTGAACTCCACTGTCAGTTTAAACCAGCAACCTCGGGTTCTTGTCCCATGACCAAGAAGATTAAGGAATGTGGACACCAAAAGGATGAGTGAAAGAAGGAATTTATTAAGCAAAAAAAAATTTCCCCCTAAAAAGAGAGAGGACTTGAAATGGGCAACCTGGTGCTAGAAGGTTTTTTTGTGGCTTTTATCTTATCTTTTCTAGGGACATTTCTCTCATTTACATCTCATCCACCCCTTATTTTCCTGAGACCCAATTTTTATTGCACATGCAGGTACTTGACCAAAACGTTACTCCATCTTGAATATTACCCATAATTATCACAGAAAAGCCCACTCAGTGGGGTAAAATCTCAATGCTAATGTTATGTTAATGATATTATAATAAGCCAAGGTCAAGATAGGACATTTAGTTAAGCTATTGTACCTGCACTTAAGCAGCAAAAAGTTCCTCTTAGTGGTGCATTCGGGTTTGACAGGATGTTCTTAACCACGTTAACTACATTTTCAGCCAACAATTATATAATGGGAGTAGTGAGGGGGCATTCCTGCAGTCTTATGTCTCCAGAAGACCCTCCCTCTCTGTCTACCTAACCAGCTGCTGATTATCTACTCTCTCAGTGTCATATGTGTGATGTGTAAATGTGTAGTGTTTATGTAAAACACATGATGCAGGTAAGATTGAGATAGGAGATAACTAGAGAAAGGCTAGGCAGACAGACAGGTGGGCCCTCTGATATCAATGTAGTGAACTCCTGGCAGGCCTCTCAGCCTCAGTCTTGGTAAACAAAATCCCTGCAAGTATCTCAAGCTAGAGCTTAAGTACTCACTGCTGGGATCAAAAAGCAACCAATCAGTACACCATTAGGCTCCTATCTCCTGTCAATTGGTCCTTAATATTGACCAATCTGAACAGCTACACTTCACAGCTAGTGCTAGCCAATCGACTTGGACTTAGGACTATATAAGCACCAGGTTTTCACCCCCAGATGGGCAACCCTTTTGGGTCCCCTCCCAATGAGGGAGCTTCTCTGTCCTCTCAATAAATCTTACGTTCTCACTTTCCGGTTGCCTGTGTCCCTCATTCTTCCTGGTCATGAGACAAGAACCTCGACCCTGAAGAGCTGCGACCTGAAGAGCAGTAAAAGATCATCAGAGCCAAAGAGTCATGCACCCCAGAGGCTGGCTTGCCAGTCCATGGAACCGGCTTAACCAGGAGAGCTGCCAGAAGAAGGTGAAACTCTGAAGCTGAGACACCTCGGGGGTTAGGCTTGCCAGCCCACTGAATCTCAACACTCTCAGGTCTTGAATTGCCAGCCTGTTAAAAGCTGACACTTCTGGGACTAAGCTTACCAGCCCCTCAATGACTCTCTGGGGCTTAGTTGGCCAACCCTTTGAGCTGACACGCTTGAAGCCCAGGCTGACCTGAAAAATCCATATCAAGATGAGCACTAGTGCTCATTGGATGTAGGGCTATGTGCTGTGGAGGGAAAGTGTAGATCAAAATTACTGTGGGTAAGTCGGGGCAAGGTGGGACACCTATAATCTCAACTAGTCAGGATGCTAAGGCAGTAAATTTGCTTAATCCTAAAAATTTGAGATCCTGACCAAAAAACTTAGACATAATCTGAAATGATCCACATGTCATCATGAGCAATGATGACTCTGCTCGAATTCTTGCCTGGATAGGTAAATGGAATTATTTAAGAATTCGAGCAGAGTTATCATCATTGAGTTGTCACAGAAGTGATTAAACAATATCCAAGTGTTTTCCTGAATCAGGCATGGAAATATGAAGGAATTTAGAGAATAATCAGTTAGGATAATAATCAACTTTATACCACAATATTAGTCAGTAGGGAAATCGGCAGTTGGTAAAACTAATTTGAATTTTTTCACTGGACTGTGGTAATGGTGGTACATATACTCTATCACATAATTCTAAATATATATATTCTTAATACAAACAAATTATCTCACAAGTACCCATTATAAACATATGGTCACATATGTGTATTACATATGTTTTGCAATAAGAGTAGCACTGTTTCTCAATAATTATCTGATATATGCATGACTAAGTAAACTGGCTACCAGTTTAATATTATGTGACTTGTACCAAAATATTTCTACTATCAAGTTAAAAATTAAATTGGCATATTTTTCACACTAATATTTCCATTCAAATTATTTTATGCTAGTTGCTATGTTTCAGCTCAAGAAATTATTACAGTAAACATGAAAAGTAGCCAGTTGTTTATAACAGAATCTCCTATTTTGGTCCATGCCTATGAAGCAGGGTAAAATTTCTAATCATCATTAATAGTATGACTGGTCAAAATGATATATAATATGATTTCATTTAATGTAATACTCACATTTACATAAATTATCCTAATAATCATCTTTATCACTCTATTGAATTGCAACAATAGATCCCAAACTGATAAAAGAAATGTCCCTTATCCTATTTGAAGCTAGTCTTTTCATGCACATTTTAAAACACAATCCTTTCTATCCTAAGGAACTTCCTTTAGTAGATTCAACATCTTGTTAACAGTGAATCTTTTAATCAATGTGTGAAAGTGTTTACTTAAACTGCATATGATGGTTGGTTTCACAGGTTCTAGAAGTGGACTGCCTCTGCTCAAATCACTTTCTCCAACTATTATCTGTGTCACCTTGACTGAATTAAATAAGAGTTCCTTTGCCTCAGTTTCTTTCTCTGTAAAAGTGGAAAATAGTACCTATCACCACAGGATTTTGTGTGGATCAAATTAATTAATTCATGAAAAGCATTTGAAAAATGGACAAGACAAGGAAAATATTCAAAAAAAAACTGAATGTTATTATTGGTAATAAATTATTATTTCTGTTTTCTTTCACTTAAATATCATTACCTTGATCTTCTTTTCTTTAAAAATAAAATTTTTAATAACATTAGTTTACATTTATCTTTATTTGTTAATCTTACATTTGCTCCTTCTTGAATTCATTTGGTAATAATTTTCAAATTTAGAGTAGCAAGAATCTTACTAAGTACATTGATAAATTACTCAAATTGACCAGTTGCTAACATGTTGCCACATTTACTTTAGGATTTATTTGCACTCTTTCTTTTTTGTTTTTTTCTGAGTTGGAGTCTCACTCAGTCACCCAAACTGGAGTGCAGCGGCCGCTCCCGGCAACCGCAGCCTCGACCTGCTGGGCTCCAGTGATCCTTCCGCCTCAACCTTTCAAGTAGCTGGAACTCCTGGCACACGCTACCACGCCCAGCTAATTTTTTGATTTATTGTAGAGATGAGATCTCGCCAAGTTGCCCAGGCAGGTCTCGAACCCTCGGGCTCAGGCAATCCACTCACCTCAGCCTCCTAAAGGTGCGGGATTACAGGCTGAGCCACCGAGCCCGGCTTATTTGCACTCTTTCTAACACACACACACACACACACACACACACACACACACACACACACTCCAGAACATTGTGGACCACTTTTTTGTTATCATACACCGTATTTCTGCTGGGTTTGAACAAGACAAACTTATCTTTCTTACTACTGACTTTGTCCACTGAAAGAACCTAGAAGCAATGATTCCTCACTAGTAATGAGTATATTTAATCTTATGTGAAATCATAAGTTCAGGAATCTCCTGTGCCTTATTACATTTCATTTTTTCTTTTTCTACATAAAACACACATACGTTAACTATATTCTATAAGTATGTTATATTGTGACAAATATATAGATATAGTGTTATAATATATTGGCATATGTTGAAATTATAAATTTATACTGTTATTTTTGATTGTAGTCTAACACTGAAGATTCTTTTCTTGCCTTTGCCTATGCCATATGTTTTATTTCCTTCTTCTATAGTGAGAATCTGGCTCCCAACATAAAAGTATTTATACTCATTTGCTCAAATCTACAGTAATGCTCAAAAGGTTACATAAATTAAACAACAAAAATATTATGAAATATAAACTAAGTAGAATTTAAAATTATTTACTGTTACTTATCTCTTTTGGCTGTAGGTATAGAGTAAAACTATTGAATACATATGTTATTGAATCAGACATTAATTTTTTTTAACTTTTGACTTTGAAATAATTATAGATTCACTGAAAGTTATAAAAATAATAAAGATATTCCTGTATGTATCTTTCACATAATTCTCCAAAGCTTCTTCAAAAACTAGCATCTTATATAACAACAGCACAAAATCATAATCAGAAAATGCATATTGGTACAACATTGTTACTAAACAACAGGCCTTATTGAAATTTCATTATTTTTGCATGCATTTCTCTTTTACATTCACTTTTAACTCAATAGCAGTCTGACTTCTATCCTTACGTGCAATTAAATTCATCAAGAGAAGGTCGTCTCTGCCTTGTCTAGATAGAGATGCATGAAATGGTCAGATACTTTTCAATCCATACTTAACTAATATTTATGTGACATTAGACACTATTGACAACTTCTTTTTTTTTTTATCTTTCCTTAGCTTCTGAGACTCTGCACCTTTTAGTACCTCTTCTGAGTTTTCTTTTCACATTTTTCTCTCTTTATGCCTTGAATATCAGGTTTTCTCCAGTTTATGTCTTTGGTCTTATTTCTTCTCCTTATACTTCTAAGACAGAAGAGAAATTTGCTGTATAAATAAATTGAAATATTTGCCTTTGTAAAATACTACTTTGAAATATTTACAGTTATAACATAGGTTTTATAGAGATTTTTCAAAACAGAAATTAATACTTTTAATGGTAAATTAAATTCTCAAATATAGAGGTAAAAACACTATGGTAAACTGGAAGAGATATTTTTCTAAAAGATTTTCTTTAATTCTGAGATTTGTTAGTGGAAACTTGATTATAAAGCAGACTGAAATGGTTTGAATTCTTTTAACATTACTGTATTACTGACATTCCTGTTGTTCTGATTAAATAAATCCACTGGTTTCCAAGTTTCATCTATCTCACTTTTGTCTTATTGAATTCATAGTACAATAAAAAAGATTAGAAACAAGAAAAACATCAAAGTGGAGAGCTGGGAATTAAGAGACAGAGAGACAATGAGAGAGAGAGAGAGAAAGAGAGAGAGAACAAAAGCTATCTTTGTGATTAGTTGAAGGATAAAATAATTTTATAATCTTAAAACTAACATTCTGCTCTTGATATATGTAGTAAACTATATAATTATGTAAGTATTAGAGTAGATATTAAATACACTATTATCTACTTCATCTAGCAATATTGCTACCTCTTAAATATTAGGACAATATTTACAGAATTTAAAAAATCAAAATTATCTATTACTTATGTGAAATATATTGTGCATGCTGGTTTGCCATCCTCTTAGAATTAGGTCCTCTGGTGCTTAGAGAATAACATATTTTTAACTAAGAAAATAGGCTCTTTTTTTCTAAAATGTATAACAGCATTACATAGATCATCAGGGCAGAAAGTTAACAAGGAAATCTGGAACCTTAACATGACACTTGAGTAATTGGAGCTAATAGACATCTATACAACACTTGACCCAACAACCACAGAATATGCATTCCGCTCATCAGCACATGGAGCATACTCCAAGATTTATCATATACTTGGCCATAAACCAAGTGCAAACTAATTTCAAAAGATTGAAATCATACCAAACATCTTCTCAGATCACAGTGGAATAAAAATAAATATCGTCAACAACCCTCCCCCAAAACAACTAACTACATGGAAATTTAACATCAGGCTTCTGAATTACTTTTGGGTTAAAAAAGACATAAATAGATTCCTAGGAATAAATGGGGAAAAAAAAGACGCAACCCATCTAAACCTCTGGAGTACCAGGAAAAGACTACCGAGAGGGAAGTTTATAACACTGCATGCACATAACAAGAAAACAAATAGAAGGATCTCAAGTAAACAGGTTTACATCTCACCTAAGGAAATTGGAAAGATAAGAGCAAACCAATCCAATGCAAGAATTAGTAGAAAAATAGAAATCATTAAAATAAAGTTATAGCTAAATAATATAAAGGCCAAAAACATCATGTAGGAACATAGAGAAATTTGAATAAACAATTAGAAATGAAAAAGGCAATGTTGCACAAACCCTGAAGAAACACAAAAGATTATCAGAGATTACTGTGAACATTTGTATGTGAGTAAACGAAAAAATCTAGATAAAGTGAAGGAATTCCTGGCATCACATAACCTCCTAAGATTGAGACAAGAAAACATTAAAAACCTAAACAAGCCGGGCTCGGTAGCTCAGCCTGTAATCCCGCGCCTTTGGGAGGCTGAGGTGAGTGGATTGCCTGAGCCCGTGGGTTCGAAACCCGCCTGGGCAGCGAGACCTCATCTCTACAGTAAATCAAAAAATCAGCTGGGCGTGGTAGTGTATGCCGGTAACTCTGGCTACTTGGAAGGCTGAGGCGGAAGGATCGCTGGAGACCAGCAGTTCGAGGCTGCGGTGGCCGGGAGCGGCCACTGCACTTCAGTCTGGGTGACAGAGTGAGATTCCAACTCCAAAAAAAAAAAACCTAAACAGACTAATAACAATTCAAGAAATTGACTCAGTAATAAGAAACCTCCCCTCCAAAAAGAAGCCCTTGACCAAGTGTTTCCTCAGCTGAATTCTATAAGACATACAAGGAAGAGATGATAGCAAACTTATTGAAAGTATTTC